CCCCCAAAGTGGTAGGGCGGTTTTTGGGGGGGCTGGTTTGATCAGTGACGTCATTTTTCTCAAGGATCCTGGCTCTTTCCATCTTCCTTCCCACTGGCTTCGGGGTGTTAGCTTGGCTGCTCAGGATGGCTCCCTTCAGAGTCCCCAGATGGCTGTCACAGCTCCAGTGCATCCCAGATGCCCAACCATGCCGTGTAGTCTGACCTTTCCCTGTCCACACTCTATATTTCATAGGATTAGTGCACAGTTTAACTATGCTCCCTGATAGTAGTAGAGAAGATGGAAATAAAAACGAGTATTGACTAATTCCGTGGTTGTCTCCTCTGTTAGAGCCAATGCCCTTTCTTCATAACAAATGTGTTTGCAGTGCCTCTTTATCTATCATGATATTCATAGATAACAAAACCTCCTTATCTGGGCTATTGCTAATTATAGCTGCGCCAAAATGTGACACCTCATCAGTGAACATCCTTTTGACCCAATGTATCATTGCTCCAGTTTTTAATATGTTCTTCTTTGCTATCGGTGAGGTTTTCCTTTGTTTCATTATGTCATTGTGTTTGTATTCTATCTGGATTATGTATAAATGAAACCCAGATTAGGCAAACTGAGAGAGATTACAAAGAGATCAATAGATTTTAAAGGACATGGCCGGTCAGATGGGTGGGAAATGATCACAAACATCAAGTACAAGGAAGAAGAAATGTCCTGGAATTGACTATAGTGACAGTTGCACAACTCATGAATGCGATTAAACTATTGAAATGTATGCTATATGAATTGTATGTTGATAAAATTGTTAAAAATAAACTAATTATTCAATTAAAAAACAAAAACCTAACCTCCCTACCATGGTCATCTTTTGACATTTGAAAGGAATCCTAGAAATTGCTCCAGAAGTTTCTTCCTCAAATTGTATTGGCCAGAATTGTGTTACATGCCCATTCTTAAATCAATTGCTTAATAAAGGGAATGGGACCAATCAATATATTTGGTTTGGTCTAATTTTTGTTTGTTTAATATTGATCCTCTACAGTGGAGAAATAACTTACCCTCTAAGGAATGACATGGCCACTTTGGGAAAAGTGGAGAAAATCAGGCTTCTGACACAAGGAAAAAACACCCGGGAACTGTGGATGTGGCAACAATGGTATCAGCCACAGCCAGGAACTTCAAATGGTTTTCCTTATAACATCCTTTGAGGGCTCAGGAAGAAAAGAGCTCTTTGATCAAATGAGCATAGAAAGCAGCTTATCACCTTCTTGGAAATCCACAATGCTTGGTAGAATATTAAAAGCTTTTAGAAGGCCTACACTTTGTTTTAAAGAGTTAAAAGCAACAGAAGTTAATACAATCCTGCAATAACTGTGCTCTACAAACAGATGAATGGATAGACATGCAGGCTGAACAGGGGTGGGAAGGAGAGTGGGACTGTACCCAGGAATATATATAGAGAGACTTGACAGGATATTTGTATATGTGTATTTACCTTTGCTGCAAATATATCCATGAAGGTGGTAGAGCACATAGGGGGAAATGTTATGAAAACTTCTGACATAACCAAATACCTCAAGGGAATGAAAAATGACTCATGGGGACTGAGAGGCTCAGGGCCATAGTCCCAGAGGACCGAAGTCAATTGGCATAACATAGTTCATAAAGTCAGTGTTCTGCATCCTACTTTGGTGAGTCGCGACTAAGGTCTTCAAAGCTCGTTGAGTAGCCATCTAAGGTTGGATTTTTGGTTTTTTTCCTGTCTGGAGCAAAGAAGAGTGATGGAAAAAATTAGTCCAACTGACTAGTGGACCACACAAACACCAGTCTCCATGACTCTGAGACCTGAAGACATAGATGGTGCCTGGTTACCACGACCGGCTACTCTGAAGGGAATTACATTAGAAGATCCTAGATAGGTGAATCTATAGAGATAGTAACTGTCTTACTGGTTTCTTGGGGGCAGGAGAAGGTAGGGGAAAATGGGAAGCTAATGAGTACAAGAAGAAAATGTTCTAAAATTGATTGTGATGATTGTACAACTCTTCTTAATATGATTGAACGGCTTGTGAATTATAGGCCAATAAAACAGTTTTGTTTTTTAAGAAGATGGAAAGAAAGAAAAAGATCCTTGAGAGAATGGGAGAAAAAGGTGGAACAAAATTAAGAACATAAAAGAAGCCAGGCTTTCTCATCAAATAAAGCCTGATGGAATTCTCAAGACAATAGCCCTTAATCAGCCATCCTTCAAGTCTGGAACTGAAGTCTCCCCCAGGGGTCAATTTTCTGCCTTACAAAAGACAGGTCTGTAAGGGAAACAATAAGAGTATGAGTTAGGTACACCCACCTTAGAATAACCAACCATTTAAGATCAGAAGGGCAACAAAACGTTGTTCTTGACCTGAGGACGAAGTCCAGAAGGGGGGGTAAGAAGGAAAATGGAAGCAGGAAACACAGGCAGGAAGCAGATTAAGTCATGGTCCATCGAGGGGGTTGCAATAAGATGAAACAAAGTGTGTGTGAATTGTATGTAAAACTGATGATCTGCTCTATAAATCTTCACCCAATTCATAAATTGTTTTTTTAAAAAAACAAGCAAACATGGAAAGGGTGTACCATATCACCTTCCTGGAAATCTATAATGCTTATAAGCAAGTTAATAGCCCAGAGAATGCCTATCCTTGATGTCTAACCCAGAATTCCAGGCGTTTTTTGGCCATATAATCTTTGGTCTGTGAGAAATCCATGAGCAATGTCACAGAAGCAGCGTTCCATGAAACATCTGTTAGTGAGACATTGGCTGGATACTGGATCCTTTGTTTGGCTTTCCTGACAATATTTCACATGGGAGCCGAGTGTTAGTAAGTTTTAGTGCAGTCACATTTACCTGAAGAGTTTTAGAAAGCTTTCATTTTGAGTGTTTTGCCTTTTTTTTCTTTTAACAGAATAAAAATGTTACAGAATTCATTTGTTCCCTTCTATAAATTGGGAAGGTTCTGTGGTAGAGGCAGGCTGAGGACTCGCTTGTTGCCTAAAATTAGATCTGGTGCAAAGATCTAGGTTCTAGATCAATTGTTTTCATTCCTTGCCCTTTGGAGCAAACAAAAGTTAATTCTGTTGGCCAGGGTAAGATCCAGATAAGGTGTCCAGCCTTTTTATTATTTTGTTTTTCCCCAGAAC